TTTTTCCCCAAATTTTTTTTCTATTTTTTGTATTCACCCAAATGTATTGTATATTAGGTATAGCGTATAGATAAATATATAGGGATCTGATTACAGATGAATTTAGACTAACTTAAAAATTAAAAATAATATATATATATCAATGTAAAACGAACCACTTGGAATCTAAAAGTATTAGATTTGAAAATTAGTAAGAATATTTTAATTTACCCATGAAATTTTTATTTGTCACACATAAACCTATTTTAAAAAAGTTACCAAATAATGATTTATGAAAAATCAGTTCAAATAAGGTTAAAAAAATAAATATTTTTACAATACCAAAAACCAAAAATTATATTAAAATATTTTAACTATTCAATATAAGTAGGGTGACCATACGTCCCGTTTAAAACGAGATTGACACCTTTCTGATCATAATTTATTTTGTCCCGACAAACATCAAACGTGACGCTTTTTCTCCATATTATTATATATGTAAAATAAAATATAATAAGCTTATTCAACATTATTTAAATTGTAAAATAAAAATATTATTAGAAAATKGTTGGGTTTGTTTTAAGAGTGTCTACCTAAAACTGTTTGTTTCGTTTATTTATTTATTTTTAAATGGTCACCCTAATATAAGTGAGCATACCTAATACCTATTATACGAAATTAATAGGTGTTAAAATATTGTCCAACCTTTATGTACAGTTAATTATCACGTACCTAGCTATAAATATTTAAACAAATAACAATTTTGGGGAACCTATAAGTATATAACGCTTCTTATACGTCAGTAGTCACCACACAGTATTGTTGTCTTTTGACTACAAGGCGACAAATATACGAGTACGATAGTGATTTGCTGTGACCAACAGCGTGTGAATAAGATAGATGCAACAAATGACATGCTGATGCCTGATGTTCTTTTATTCCATAGATGATAAAAGTATGGATGGGAGATCAAAGATTGAGTTCACTTTATATTTTTGGTCGTGAAGTGATAACAAATTGAGGCCGTTTGTATACTACGATTTTAATCTATAATATAGATATACATTTGTTTAGCCTCAATTGGAATGACCACTGATAAGATGTTATGGACAATCCATTTTTATTCTGAACACGTGTATGTATAATAGAACAGTATAAAATAATTGATAATATTCAATGTGCATTGTCAAGACATTAAATATCACATTAACACAACTCCACCGCGACGGCCTTGTTTGGAGATGCTATATAACGTTGCCAACAATAAGACACGTCCATAAAAATGCGACCTCATTTAATGAATTTGTTCAAATGCACATTGCACCCTGAAATTCGAACTATAACGGTCGTATTTGTCTGGGGAAAAGAATTGTTATGAACAATTTACGCTTACCTATTCCACAAATAGTCAAACACAGATTGTACACCATGAGCCTGTTTATCCACGGTTTGTCCGATATAAATCCGAGTATGATCCTTCCCAAAGTGTTGGCTATGCCCAGCAACGCCAACAGGTAACTTGAATGTTTTGATTTTATGCCCATCATGCCGGCTTGGGGCTGGAACATGCAATAAATAATAAATAATAAATAATAATAATAGAACAACAAAATAATAATAATAATCGGAAAAACAACCACATAGCTCGCTTATTCTACTGTAGATGATAAAATATTAACTAGTAGAACGAAACTATACGCGACAAATTATAAATAAAATTAATATAACGATGCATATTAACAACAGCTAAAGTGTCACTAATGAGTGGCTTCTTTAATCACATCTCTTTTCCGCGGCTTTTTTTGATGCCGCGCGGCATAATTTCCGTTCGGCCTAGTAGACGGCCTACATCAAAGGAAAGTCGCGCGGCTTGTGCCGCTCGCCTATGCCGCGTGTGTGTGGACGTATTTTCTGCAAAGCCGCGCGGCATCAGTACTTATTTTTCAAGTATTTAAATTATTGTCTACTGGAAGATAATCGGGAAATAAATTCCGCACCGTGTGGACGCGTATTTGCCGCGCGGCAAAAGCTGCTCCGTCTGGACGCGCCTTTATAATTAAATAAATTACAATTGTAATTTTTTTTAATGTAATTGCAATTTAAATTCTAAGGCTTAAATAGTGTAAGGAGGTATATACAAAATACAAATCAATACCACACGGACTTATTATTCAATTATAGATAATAAATAAACTTAATAAACATAAAATATTGTTGTTAATTATTAATTATTTTATTAGATCATAAATATTAAGAGGAAGTCAACGCACTTGCTGCGAGGCCGCTTGCACTCTTGCACACGCACAACATATCAAATTTATGGGTAAGAACAATAATATGTGTATATGCCTTGTTTGATTTTATACGGATAATTTAATTTTCAAGTGAGTTTTGAGCATGTAAAATATTTATGTTTGAAAATTTTCATAGTTCACTTTAAAATTAAAATATCGTTAAAACCTATAACAAGATAACACAGATAATGTTCTTAACTAAAAATTTGATTAAAAGCCAATTTCCTTTAATGCCAAAACTAACAGCACGTTATTGAAATCAGTGTACGGAAATTTGCTATATCATATTATGCGAGTAAAGCGATGACAGCATATGCGGACACAGCTACGTTCTCTTAAAATTACGCTTATTCCAAAAATTAAACGTTTGAACTGTGATGACAAAAATGATAGCATTAATATACAATGTGCATAGAAATGCGTACCTACCTGCTATATAAACACGATAGTGTATTATAAGTACAGATATTTTAGTAGTATATATATATATATTCTACTCACCACTAAGTACAAGTAAGGTATGTTGAAGCCAATGCTCGTCAAGAAGTTGGATACTGTGTACAGTATAAAAACGGGGTCTTTAAGCAGAGAGAAGTCCAACATAGTCTTTATTGTGTTCTTGGCGTCAGCAGAACAACAGATACCATCCGAAAATTGGTCGCTTTCCATGTTTGTAGTGGTCATTTCAGTGGYATAAGCACCGGCGTTGGTCGACTGCGATATGGTCCTGAGAATATGACAATGTGTTAGGTTTGCTAGGGCTTTCTAACACTGTTGTCTGTTAGATATTATCAATATTGAGAAGAGCATAGGTGCAATAAACGCGTTTAGGTATACTAAGAAATCATATACCTACCGAAATGGAAATGGAAAAACCATTTTTCACTTGGTTAGGCATCCATCTCACGATTTAACACACTATACCACATTTATTTTGAGTTCTGAATGAACTATAAAATATACCGACGCCAGCTTAAATTAAATCTAATTAAAAATAGTATTATTTAATTTTAATATCAATTATATTTGTTCACTTTACATTTCAGACGAATCGTAAAATTCTATATATTTTTTAAATCCAAATTTAAAATTAGAATATTATTCATTCAAAAAATATTAATTTTTAGGTAATTTTATGGTTATTATTAATTTAAGAAAATCAGCTTTTAGACATCTCAAGTCAACTTTTGACGAGCATACCATTTAAAGTTATGCTAGAGAGGGGCCACTGAGCAAGTTTTAAGCATGTCAACAAAATTAATTTATGTTTTCACGATTGAATGCATATATAAATTAGATTAACTCATACATAATAGTATTCTTAACCTTGTTTGGAATAATAAAAAGTTCTGCAAAAAGAAGAATTATTATAGATACTTTATAAATAATATTATAATAATGTTGAATGTAATAAAATATTTAATAAAATTCAAAGAGTATAGCCAGTATAAGTATTATAGGTTTACATTGTTCAGTTTTTTTTTGTTTCTTTATTGATTTATATCACATAATTTAGTAAATTTCAAGACCAGAAGAGTAAACTAGTAAAGCGAATAGTAAAAAAGCTAGAAATATTACAAGCTGAAAAGTTTTTCCTAATATTATAATATTTAATATTATTTTATTTGAGGGGCCTCATAAAATGTATTCTCATAGGTAAAAAACTTATTTATTATTTCTCTATAGGAAATTTGTTTGTATTTTTAATATTTACCAAAAAAGTAAAATATTAAACAAAAATTATGACAAAAATTACATTAAAAAAAATTTAAATTCCAAAATTTCGTTTAGATATTTTTAGAAAGATTATAATCATATAATAACTTGTTAGTTAACTGAAAATCAATTGTAACTTAGTCGAAAATTACTGTCTCTTATGCATCTTATCATTCAGTAAGTACCTATATTTATAATTCTAGAGAACTCGAACACGTGAAATTAAATGTGAAATCTAATACATAGTTTCTATCATAAACAATTTCATGTTTTGTGTACTCGATTGTACGTGGTGGTATTTACATTTTACGCTAGAATTCGGTATAGTAATCGGATAAAATAACCATTTTTATAAGATTTATTTTTCATGATAGAACACGAAAATAATGTTTAATTATTGAAGTGTATCTACATTTTTTTGTTTTCATTAGACAATGTGTTTGTATTTCATGGGCATTTATACCACTATGAAATTAGAACATGATATATACGACAACGAAGAATTTAAACGGTCAAACATTCAAGTAGTATATATCATTACATTATACTATATATATATATATATTGAAATCAGCAATTACATTCAAATTGTAAGTAAAAAATATGCGGTGCTGAATTACCGATAAAAATGTTTTGTTTTTATTGTTTTAAGAGACTAGAAAAACGTGTCCGCAAAAATAACACGATAAATACAGACCTAACGAATAATATGTGACTAACGCATTTTGAAAATCATAATCACATACGAGAAAATATATAGTACTGAAAACAAGATTAGAACTTGACGCGAACATTATCGTGTCCATGACACAGACAGTAACATTTAGGTACTATTTTGTTTAGTATTTAAAGCACGAAATTCACATATAATAATAAAAAAGTTAAAAAGGGGAAAGTAAATAGCCGCTGTGATGTGGAGTGGGAAGCAAGTGTACTTTGTCATTGAGTAGGTCATTGTAATAGTTCAATTCGAATATTTAATGACAAACGATTACATACAAAAAATGATTCTGAGCGGAGGCGGTCTGTCAACCTATATTATATAAATATATTGTTATTAATTATTATAGTAATTTATTTAACTACCAGTAATACGGTATCATCTATAGCTAATAGATCATACCGTAAAATTGATCTTAATATTTATAAAAAATGTCAATATGTACATAAAATATGATAATATACGTACGTAAGTTTAAAATCCCCGCAAACAATATTTTTGAATTATGACATAATAATTTAAATCGTTGTTCTTTGTTTATATATTGAATTTCTTCCAAATGTTAACTTAAAAATAGTTAAATTTTTGATAGCTATAAAAGAAACATATGAGGATACTTGTATTCATACAGTTTTAAGTCAGAAATATTACAATTTTATCTATCGTCGGAAATTATGTTACTGACAAGAAAGTAACTCTCAAAGCGTTATACACGGTGTGACAAGTTGAAAAACATTAAAATAGCATAATTTGTCCGAGCTTAGGTCGATTCTGACAACATGACGTGTCATACTAGGACGTGCTTTACTTTGAAAAAATATTAAACAATTTTCATACTGGAAAAAGTTAACAAACGCCCTTATAGGCGTACCTATAGGTACACAGTACACGTAAAGGGTGGTTTTAGCCTGCAATATAATAACAAAACTTGTGATTGTTGCTCACACAGTGTACAAATCATTACATAATAGGATAATACATAGTATATACTATACACCAATCCTACCTACCTATATTAAGCACTACGAAAATATATGTAATATGCATTATACAGAGTGCTTCGTTGCATTTCGTAGTATTGTTTACAAATCAATCAAGCACTAATTTTCATGATAATTTACATATTAACTTTTTTTTCATATATATATATATAACGGTAAAAATATTTGAAACCAAATTAAAAACACTTTTTGGGTTCATATTACTACATTTTAATACTGCACACATAAATAGCAACTGGATTAGCCTAAGGGTCTATATGCATATATAAATCAGCCACTTTATACCAAACCATTTTTTTTTTAGTTTATACAAGGTTTACGAGAAATAGTAGGTACTTCAAATAATAATAAATTATAAGAGCTCTTTTATTAGAGCACGATAATAATTTTTAAAAACGCATTATTTAGTAAAAAGTTATTGACGGTAACAAACATAATGTGACATCATATTTACTCTTCTCATACGTTTACACTAGAAAAGTGTTCTATTGTTAAACTATATTAGGAACATTATGGATTTTTACACACCGTCAGGTGTGAGTTGAACTCGATAGTACTATTGTAAATTCTGTTAGCTGAACAAATAATTAAAACACAGTAGTTTAAAAAAAAAAATTAAACCAGTCAAATGCAAAGATGTTTTTTTGTTACTAATAAAAAAATTAACTGTTAGGTAAAAAGTTTGATTTGATAATATTTTTGTTTTTTATATGACATAAACAATGTATGAAAATGAGTACAATAAGTTTAAATGATAAGAATAAGTATAATATGAAAAATCTGATTAAAATAGCCAACTATTAGTAACTCTTAGCAAGTATGATATAGAGTGGAACATAGCCACATCGGATATATTTTAGAATGTTTGAATTTTATAAGTGATAGTTATTTTTTTTTGCTGTGYCCCATGTTTGATGTCCGTATGTCGGGTTGAGTAGAGCTTTATATGATAAAACAGAGTTAAAATTGTTTTATAACTAGGCGATAAAAAAAAAAAAAAATTAATTAAATCTTATTATTTATTGTTGACGATTGAAAACGTATTTCTGAGCGCATTTTCTTTTAATAATTATATGAGTAGGTACTTTAATTAAGCTTTATCTGCAATCGTCGTTTATGACGCACAATATTTTTTATCAAATAATAAGAAAGACCGATTAATACTTAATTTTCATAGAAATTCCAAAAAAGGGACATTTGTTAAATAGATTATTGAAAACAGATTTTTACTGTGGCAAAATAAACTTTTCCTAGTAACTTTCATGTAAAAAATATATGTTGCTTAAAACCGTAGAAAAAAAAGATAGTCGTCAAGTTATGACATTATTATTATTGTTGAATAAACATCAAAAGTATTAACAGTCATCATAGGAAAATGGATGATATATAGGCATAATATGGGAATTTGAAAATTATATTTGTAATTTACGACTTATTGTGTATATACTTATAAGTAGCAATAAACATCAAGTTTAAAAAAAGTCACCGACTCGCTTAGCAGTATATAGTTAATTTTGTGTGTAAATCGCGTATTGAGGAAGTTACTGTAATAGTGTTAAATTTGAATTCAACTATAACTTATAAAACACTATAGGCAAGTATACACAAAAAACAATTCTTTGCTGAGACTGTGCGTTTATAATCAGATATTGGTGTAAGGATAATAATAATATTTTTTATTTTTAAGGGAACCTGCAGCAACAGACAATTGGGTGTGGAATGATACGATAGGGATTATTGTTCATGAGCAACATCTCTTACCAATGAATACAAATAAACGCAAACCACCTTTTATCACACCAAACCGATACCAACTGTTATCACCATACGACGATGAAGAGGTATTTTCGTTACCCACTCAGAACGAAAAACAAACATCCACACAAGACGAAACATCTTCCAAACCACCACCCCCAATCTTTATGTSAGGGATTACTGAGTATAACAGGTTCTGCACCGAACTAATTCAACTTATTGGCAAAGAAAATGTTTATTGTAAATCATCAACATACCAACTAAAAACACAAACTGTTTCTTCAGATGCATATAGAACATTAGTACACTACCTAAAAAATAATAATGCCCTTTTTCATACAATCAAGACAAACCTATTCGAGCTGTCATTCGAAATATTCATCCATCAACCACAGTCGATGAAATCAAAAAAAAACCTTATAGATCTTTCATTCGAAGTACAACAAGTAACTCAAGTACTTCGCAAAAATACCAAACTACCACTTCCGTTTTTTTTCGTTGATCTAACTCAATCTGAAAAATCTACAGAATATA